GCCTCTTCCTGCCTGGACTTGTGACAGTTTGTTTTTTCTTCCCCTCCCGTTCTGTTTCTGGTCTTCCTAAAAAGTACACAGCCCGGAGGGGCCCGGAGTATTTTTACTCGGTGGATACAGAAGCAGATGTTCAGGTCAAGCCCAGACACATTCACACGCAGCAGCTGCAGGGTCTTAGTATCCCAGGCCCTTCAGGCTTGGAGATGGCAGCGGACAGGACCCAGCTTTTGGAGCAATCAAATGACACTGGGCTGCAGGAAGCAAGCTTAGGTTGGAGCTGTTGGTCAAGGCTAGGGCACTTGCCTAGCACCCTAGTCCTGCAAAACAGAATCCCGAAGCCCTCTAGGAGAAAATAGAGAGAGACAACACGGTGATTGGGAAACTGATCAGACAGAGTTGGGGTCCCAACAGCGCTGTGCATGCTCCCAGCTGTACCTCCATCGGTCCTTGTCCCCGATAGGGGTATCTCTGACCTGTGGTGCTCCACAGAGTCTGCCCGTCTTTCCCAGATGAGGGAGGCACTGGCTTCTGGAACTGAAGAGGCATCTGCGCCACCTGTGTCTGTCTGTGAGGGAGGCAGTGTGGCGCTCTGTAGGAGCTGGCCCGGGACTTGGAGCCCTGAGAGGAAAGGCGAGGAATCAGGATGGGCAGGAGTCACAAGGGCCTGGGAGATGGGGGCGTGTAGGACACAAGGCCAGCCTCAGACACTCCTTTTCATCTGAGAGAAAATGACCTCTATGGGGGCCGAGTCACCAGGCCCAATGCCTTGCTCCTGTGAGCTTGGTCATAGGCCCCGAATTCTAGTCTCAAGGACATGGCTGCGGATTTCACTTCAAAGCCTTATTGAACCCCTCCTTTGTAAATGCTCTTTGCTCTATCTTGCTTATGATTTTTCTCATAAACCACTCAAATAATTCTGGGAAGCAGTACGAGTACACGTGGAGAAGAAGAGAAAGAAGGAGGCACATCCGGAATGTCCCTGCAGACAGTTGGCCTTCACTTGGGGATCATTATTTTCCTGGAAGATCCAGTTTTTTGATAAGTAGATTACCCTCATTTTTTAAACTGTAGAAATTTTATGGGAACTTTTTGAAGGAAAAGAATTGCTGGATATAATGGTGAGTGCTAGTTTTCTGAGCCCTGGGGAGGCTGAGAAATAGATGGCCTATCATGAATTCCAGGCCAGCCTAAGATACATAATGAGATCTTTGGGGGAGGGAAAAGACAGACCAAGGAGGAAAGGGAGACAAGGAGGGGCAAAGAAAGAGAGATCTCAAGGAAGAAGGGAGGGAAGGAGGGAGGGACAGAGAGAATGAGAATCGCCATAATTATATAGACAACCATAGTTAGTATTTTGGTGTGTTTCCGTGTATATATTGGGTTTTCAAAACAGGGTTTCTCTGTGTAGCCCTGGGTGTCCTGGAACTCACTTCTGTAGACCAGGCTGGCCTCAAATTCACAGAGATCCACCTCCCTCTGCCTCTTGAGTGCTGGGATTAAAGGTGTGTGTCACCAGGCCTGGCATAGGTATTTCTTAGATGTGTAAACTTATTTTTAGTATTTATAACATGGGAAGTTTTTATTTTTTAAAATTAGCATACTAGTTATTAGATATCATTATGGCATGGCTGTAGGCAGACTTTTCTGTCCTACCAGCCAGTTCCCAGATAACCAAACTGAGATTTCTTACAAATTATAAATGCTTGGCCAGTAGCTCAGGCTTGTTACTAGCTAATGCTTACATTTTAAATTAACCCATATGTCCTATCTATGCTCTGCCACATGGCTTGGTACCTTTTCTCAGTACAGTAAATTCATCTCCTTCTTTCCACTTCTCCTTGAGATCCTTTGACTCCACCCTTCTTCTTCCCAGCATTCTATCTGCCCTGAAAATCCTGCCTAGCTACTGGCCAGTCAGTTCTTTATTAACAATGAGAACAATACATATTTACAGTGTGCAAAAAGATTATTCCATGATTATTCTAAGATTATGACATGTGTATGTCAGTGTTCTATGATAAGGTCTGTGGTGTCTGGCTCTGATACTGGTCTCATGCATGCTAGGCAAGAGTATAATATTGAGCTATGCTATCATTCCCCCCACCCCCCTTTTTAATTTTTTATTTTGAGACAAAGTCTCATTCTGTAACACTGACTGGCCTTGAATTTTCAATCCTGTGTCTCAGCCTCCTGAGTGGCTGGGGTTAGATGTTTTTGCCCCAGGGTCCATCTTCAAATGTCTTCACTAACATCTAAAATATCTCAGTTCTCCATAGTTAGAGACTCAGATCTTTCCCCAAATTTACATCACTGCAAGAAAACATTGACAATTATCTTTGTTCACACAGTTCTTTTCAAAGGTAAGATTATTTCCCCGAGGAAGGCTGAGAACTAGACTCAGCCCAGGGCAGAGGGTCGGGGTAGCAGGATTTTGAGTGTACCAGTGTGGGTGTGTACCAAGTGCATGTGCTTGTGGATGTGTTGGTGTGTGTTGGTACGAATGTGCCCACGCATGCGCATGTGCACGTGTAAGTGCATGTGTATTTGTGAATGGGCCAGTGTGAATGTGCACTTGTGAAATATCCTTGTGTATAGGTATGAGTGTGTGCCTGTGTGTCACTGTATGTGTGTATGCAGATGTAATGTATGCTTGTGAGCATGTCAGAGCATGTGCTGGGGGAGTTATGTGTTAGTAAATGCTTCTGAGTGTGTAATTGTGAGTGTGTGCTTACGAATATGTCATTGGCCCCAGAGAGGCAGAATCTGAAGCCTCCTCCTGCCCCATTCTCTCAGATGCTGTGAGGGAGAGGTAGAGAAGGCTTCCTCATTGACACCACTGAGCAATCTCTCTAGGGGACTAAAACACCTTTGAGCCTGCAGGCTAAGGGACCAAACCCTTCCTGCCTTAAGACCTCCTTTGAAGCTGTGGAGGTGAACGGTATGGAATGAGGTGTTTATGTGCTGTGGGCTGGCCTGCTCAGGGTGCACAGACAGCCCTGGCCCAGATGTGCATCATCCCAGCCTGGCTGAGCTGAGCTCCAAGGCAGGCTGCCTGGTTTTCTCCTCAGGAAGACTAGTCAATGGGGTCAGCCAGCGGGTAAGCTAAAGTTAACTTAGCTTGTTATTGCTTTTCGTTGATGAGGGGAGGGACCAGCTGCAGGGAGGCTGAGCCATTTAGAAACCTGGTGCCGTGCTTGTGATTTAATACGCCAGCACGAAGTCTGTATTCAGCCAAGAGAAAGCAATTGACAATGATTTGAAAGTCTGGGCTGGACTCCCCAAGGCTCTCTGTGCTTCTCTGAGCTTCCACTTCATTATTTTCTTGAAGAATATTTTTCCTATGAAGTTATGACTGCTGGAAGCTGGGTTGGCGCATGGCCTCCTGGGAGCCATCAGAGACTCCCTTTATTGGAGGAAGCTCTGACTTCCCCGTAGATGGGGGCGGGGCAAGATTCCTGGTGGGCTCTGTCCCCAAGCTCTGGGGTGCTGTGCTACGTGATGGTAGGGATGGGGGGACAGCGGTTCATAGACAAAAGCTAGCTGGTTCTAGGGGACAAGACTGAAAGGCAAAGCCCAATACCCTGGGTGTCCCTGAGCCAAGAACATTTTACTTGGGTCTCAGAATTCCATGGCCTGCTGGTGCATCGGGGCATGCTGCTGTTCGAAGGGACCTCTTTTGACAAAGCAGCAAAACGGATCGAAGGCACTTGAGAAACTTAGTTCAGGTCAATGTGCAAACGCATGTAAAATACTTTGAAGACTTCAGACGTCAGATGTTCTTGTTAGGAAGTAGCTTGTGAGGGAGTGTAGCAGGAAGTCTGGATGTGCCCATGAGCTAAGAGATCTAAGAGAAGATGACGATGAGGTCTATTTACAACCTTCCTATTGTGTGCTCGGTACAGTAGAGGCGTGCCAGAGTGGATTTGTCATCTCAGGAACTGTGGGTGAGGGGCTGGAGAGATGGCTAAATTCCGCTGCCACGGAGGACTTGAGTTCGGTTCCCGGCATCACGTCAGGTGTCTCACAACCGTCTATAACTCGAGCTCCAGGGGATCCTATGCCTTCATTTGGCCTCCATGGGCACACACAGATGCAGCCACAGAAATAAGTATTTTTAAAGCAAGGACTGTGGTTGAGGCTTGGAACAAAGCTTCGCTGATAGCCCGAGGACTGCAGTACTGGGCTACAGAATATCAGAGCCAGCTTGAGCACCTTAGAGAGACCTGCCTCAAAATTAAAAATAAAACCAGGGCTAGAGATGTGTGATAGACTGATTAGCATGCATGAGGTCCTGGGCTCAATACCTCAAAAAAAAAAAAAAAAAGTGAGCATAATATTGATGCTCAGGGAGGGGGTTAGCAGGGCAGGGAACATGACCCCCAGTGGAGGCACAGGAGAGGTAAAGGGTGGAGGGGACATGGCAGACTGTTTGCAGGATGTGGGGAGCTTTGATGTTCAACCTAAGGAGTCTGGACTTTATTCGTCAGCTCCCAGGGACTCAACGGGAGGTTTTCAAGCAGGGATTTGGTTTTATAGCAAGCCATCACATAAATACACCCTCACTGAAAGATGCTGTCACCGTTCCAAAATCTATAAAGCAAAGATGGAAGTCTTCTCCCCCTGAGCTCCTCTGTTCTCTGTCATTTCATTCCTGTGTAGCTGTAGGTACAGATACACAAGTCAGGCTTCCAAGTCTGTCTGTCTGTCTGTCTGTCTCTCATACACACCCTGCCTTTAAGTGTTCAGTATTACATACCAGCATGTGGTGGCATATGCCTATAATCCCAGCAACTCGGGAGGCTGAGGCAGGAGAATCACAGTAAATGTGAGGCTAGCCCAGGCCACACAGCAAGTTCCAGGCCAGCCTGGGCTACAGAGTGTGTCACTGTCTCAAAAAGAAGGAAGCGAATATTTACCATGCTATAAACCATGCGACCTCCTGGGGCACCCCGCAGTGTCTGTCCGCTCTGCTCCGTGGGCACTCCTTCATGTCATTTCAGAACACGGCTTCGTTGGATACTCCCCAGAACTGCTAGAGAACAACACTCTGCCCGACTACAGCCCCGGGGAGTCTTTCTTCACTGTGTTTGGGGTGTTCTTCCCAGCAGCCACAGGTAGGTGCTTCTGATTCTTTCTCCCTCTTGCCTTAGGTGTGTGAATGCTTGACTCCCCCAAAGTTCAGCATCACAGTCGGCCTGCATGTGCTCTCCGAATATGTAGCTGACTTTGACGATGTGTTAGCCCTGACCAAAAATCCATTATTTTCACAGTGGGTTTGCCTGCTCATAATGTCTGAGGGCCTCAACCTGATTTCGACAGTCTTCACGCCTTTGTACAAATTACATATCCTGACCAAATTAGTAGAAGGGGCGTATTGCTCTTGAGGCAGAACAAGATGGATTCCTCAGCAGGACAAGCTGCCTCTGTCATTTCTAGAATGAGTTTGGACTGTTCCCCCCTGCCTCCTCCCTGTCCCATTGTGTTTTCTCCCAGGGATCAGAGAAATTAGGCCCCTGGGCAGAGAGTCTACCTCATTATCCTGCCTCCCCCCTTTTGCTCTGTATGACTTTGGAGCAGACTGTAGAAGAACGCTTGCCTCATGTAGATAGATCCCAGGCCACATGGGACAGGTGGCCCGTGGGAAATGCTCAGGACAGGGCCGTCTCCAGAGCACAGACCAGACAAGCATCTCTGTTGCTGACCCGGAACCAGCCATCTCCTGTCCCCTCTTCTTACGCGTGCCATGTCCTTACTGGTACCCTTCCCCCACATAGGCAAAGGGATGGGAAAGGGAGAAGCTCCTGGGATGTCTCTAACAGGAAAGAGACTCCACACAAGTGTTGGCAGGGATGTGGAGAATCCAAACTCACCCGTCCTCCTGATGGGAACATAAAATGGTGACACCACTTTAGAAAAGTTTGACCGTTTCTTAAAAATTCCATATGCCGTCCCACCTCAAATAATCTGGAAGCAAGTGCTTATGTGAAGACTTGTATGTGAAAATTCAAAGCAACTCAATTTGGCCTGGAGAGAGACGCTCAGTGGTCAAGAGCACCTACTGCTCTTACAAAAGATGAGAGCTTGGTTCCCAGCTCCCACATGGCTCACAATTGCCTGTAACCCCAATTCCAGGGGGGTCAGACGCCCTCTTCTGGCCTCCACAGGCACTGCACTCAGTACACACACACACACACACACACACACACACACACACACACACACACACTAAAAACAAAATACTTAAAATAGTCAAAGCAGCTTAATTTTTAGAGTCCCCAAATGGGAAGAGCTTGAATGCTTGTCAACAGGCGAGTAGATAAATTGTGGTACAGCCACACAGCAGGGAAAACAGTATAAAGGGAAGAAGTTATTAATAGGTACAGCAAATATATATAAGCCTCAAAATAATTATGCTGAGCAAGTCAGATTAAAAAAAAAGACTCAAAAAGTTAAAAAAGTAAAATCACATAAACCCTATTTATCTAACATTCTAGAAGATTCAAGCTTTAGTTTGCAGACAGCAGGAGGATGCCTGGGGATGGAGATGAGGGGATTCTGGGTTATGCTGGTGGCTTCATGGGTATATCTGGGTGTTTTGTTGAAAACATGCAGCTTACAGAGCCTGAGTTATGCTTGAATGAAGCTGCTGAAGTCACAGAAACACTTTAATCATCTTACCAACCCCACCCTCTTCTCTGGTAAAGGCCCAAGGTAAGGTGGCTCCTATCTGCATTTCCTACCTCCTTCTGCTCAGCTCTGCCACACTCTCCCGAGTGTCTCCCCAAATGAAATGGATCCTTCCAAGGTCGCTGGTGACTTCCGTGTTACTAAGCAGTGAGCAGATCTGATTTCCTGCCTTATTTGACCTCCCAGCAGCCACTGCTTCCTCTTCCTCTCGAAGGCCCATCACACACCGCCGTTGTCCGTCCCCCGCTGCCTGCTGGCTTCTCTTCTCTGTCTGCCTGTCAGATGTTTGGCTTTCTCAAGCTACTTCTAGCCCCTTCTCCACATTCCCACTTATTTTTGTGTGCGAGTGCGTGTGTATGTATGGTGTGCATAAGTTATTTTTGTGTGCAAGTGTGTGTGTATGTGTATGGTGTGCATATGGAGGTCAGAGGACAACCCCAGGGGTCATTCCCCAGGTTCCAGCCACCTTGGTTTTTGAGACAAGGTCTGTTGCCGGCTTAGAACTTGCCAAGTTGACCAGGCTGGCCGGCCAGTGAGTTCCAGGGACCTGCTTGCCTCTGACCCTTCAGTGCTGGGATTACAAGCCCATGGACCCTACCAGGCTTTATCACATGGAGTCTAGAGATCCGGCTCAGGTCCTCTGTTTTCACAGCAAGCTCTTTACCAATGGAGCTGTCTCCCCAGCCCTGTTTTCTTCTTAATCTTTTCCAATCCCCTTATTTAGTGATCACCCCAAAGCTGAGGACTCCCACATTCACCCCAGGTGATAGCCCAGGTGTCTCCTCGGCACATCCCGTAGTTTCTTCATTGGCCTGTATAACATCTGGGATGTTTCAGACTCAATGAATTCAGAACCAAACCATTTTTTGCCGACTGGCTTTTCTCTTTCCTTCCCGTTCTCGGGGATGGCGTCCAGCAACAGGGACTTACCCTGACTCCTCCCATTGTCCTCCGAGAGCTCTCCAGGTCCTGACAAGTTTACCTTGCAGATAGCACTGGCTTCCCTTCACTTCCCCTCACCTCCACCTCATGACCACTCTGTTCTGAGCCACACCCCCCTCGCTTAAATTGTTGTCCACCCTTTACCCCATCCCCAGCCTTGGAAATGAGCCTGAAGCTAGGGCTGGGTAGGTAGACTCCTGGCCTGCAGATCCAGATTGGTCGGAACAACGTATCTCTTTGGTTTCTCTAAAACGAAAGGAGAGTTGGTCTCTGACTCTTAAGATTCTGCCCAGCGAGATGACTCAAGTCATTCAGGATACCACTGCCGGGTGCTGCCATGTGTCCGTCAGCTCCAGCTTTTGGGCTCTCCCCCAGCGCCGAGAGGCACTTTAGGCTGCCTCGCTGTTGTGCCTCCCACATCCTCTCCGCAGGGCCTTCACGGTTCTGTGCCTTGTGCTTTGTAATCCCAGATGCTTTGGGAGACCTGCTGAATTTGAGAACTCTGCATTCAGGGCCTAAGCATTTCCCAGGCCCTCCTTTTCTGGGGTTCTCTGGGTCCCTACCGGTACTGCCAGGGAGTGGGTCCCAGGCCCTCATTGTTTCAGAACTTGTGGGCCTGTCTTTCCCTACTCCTAACCCTCGGGCCAATCTTCTGTGGGGATGGCATGGGGAGTACTCCTGCCCAGGCCCATCCGCCTTAGGGTGTGCCTCGCACATTCACACCAGCTCCCTCACAGAGAAGGGCCTCCCCTGGGTGTAATGCTTGGCTTTTGCCAAAATTCTTCATCGATTTTGAACAAGGGACCCCTGTCATTTTATTTGCTTGGGCCCCACAAATCATGTAGTTCCTGTTTGGTCCCCCAGGCTGTCACCAGCCATCTGCCCGATTTTTTTCTCACTGCTTTGAATCTGTGAAACATCCTAAGGAGCCAGGCTGTGGAGGAACACACACGAACAATAGTCAGGTGAACTCTGCACCTCTCCCCCAAAGCCATCAATCAAATCTTGGTCAGCTTCCACTTGAAGGGGCAGAAAAAGAATGGGGGAAAAGAAGACAAATGAAAAAAAAAAGATTAATATTTAAAATTGCCTACCAGCCCCTCCTGCCCTGACCCTCCTGGGCGCTAAGGAGCGCACAGTCAAGAGGTTCCAGCTGAGTTTCCTGGGCCTGGCAGGGAGTTCCCACCAGGTGAAGACCCTGAACCAGAGAGACCAGGGTAGCCATTGTGCCTGGGTAGGAGCCATGCCTCGCTGTGGCTGCCCATGCTGCTGTCCTCGCTGAGGGTCACTGGGTCCCCAGGGGGTTGTCCTTAGAGTGTGGTCCTGATGTCTCCTAGTTGGTGAGTAAAATAAGGTTGCAGTGCCTGGTCTGAGTGAGGTGGGTGGTGACCTCTCCAGATGAGAATTAGCAGTGGCCTGCAGCTTGGGAATGCCACTTGGCAGGCAGAGCTGAGCTGATTTAACTTTGAGATCAGTTGCCAGGGCAGCCACTCAACTTCCTATCTTTTCTTTTCTTTGTGTGTGTGTGTGTGTGTACACACGCACGTGCGCACGCGGGGTGTGTGTGTGTGTATGTGTGTTTTGCTAGAGATGGAACCCATGGCCTGCTACATGCTAGACAAGTACTCTACCACTGAGCTACATCCCAGTCCCTTCGGCTTACTGTCTTTTAAATCACTTTTCCCTCTTGAAAATCACACTGCAAATTCTGCTCCAGAGAGGAGATTTCTCCTCTGGATTTCTGGATTTCTTTTGAGACAGCTGAGAAAATTGGTTGAGATGTATTTCCTGAGGCTGAGGAGATGGCTCACTGGGTACAGTACTTGCCAAGCAAGCCCAGTAACCTGGCTTCTGATCACCGAAAGCCACATAAAAGCCAGACACAGGAGTGCAAGCATCTACAGTTCCGGCGTGCCAACGGGAAGATGGGCAGTGGAGACAAAAGAATCTCTAGACGGTACCAGCCAGCTAACCTGTGTTATGCAAGGGCGTTGTCTCAAACATGGTGGGAAGGCGAGGAAGCCTGTCCTGTCTGCCTGCCACACACAGCATGATACATGCTTGGCCACCCCCCACCCCACCACGAACAAATATCCACTCCCCAACACATACAGACATTCACAAACGCAGATTTATTTTTTGTGCTTTATGAAAGTATGATTTTGTAAGAGTCCACACCTGAGATTATAACACTGAATAGAATGTCCTCCACATTTAGGGCCTAAGCATTTCCCAGGCCCTCCTTTTCTGGGGTTCTCTGGGTCCCTACCGGCACTGTCAGGGAGTGGGTCCCAGGCCCTCATTGTTTCAGAACTTGTGGCCTCTGATCTGAGTTTGTTTTTACCGACTGGGGAAGGATTGGGAAAGGACCTGATGAAGATCATACAGATAATTAGGAAGCAGAGTGGGGGTCCGGCTGCCCTCCCCTGGCTCTGTTTACTAGGGCCCCAAAGTAAACATGGAGGCAGGGTGACCGATTCGCACC